TTGACTCTTTTTTTTTACCGTTATCTTCAAGTCTGTGTGAAAATGCAATTGAGTGCATGGCTCATTGCTGAAAAGCAAAAGTTGTCACTCAGCCGGGGCAGCGGGGAGAGCAAAGATCCTAGAGGTCCAGAGGCATCTGGCTCTCCACCTCCACATTCCCAGCACCTTGATAGCAAACAGCCCCACCCAACCTGTCATGTGGGACCGTGCCTGCTCCACGCGTGCCTGGGATTGCACCTGCCATGGGAGGCATTAGCTGGGTGATCCAGCAGCATTCACTTGAGCAATTCCAATTATCTGTGCCACTTGTGAGCTCTTTCCTCCCCTGACGCTGATGAGGATAAATAGCCCGAGAACGCAGCCTGCACGTGCTCCCCACATCAACAGCAATAAGAATGTGCATTCGTACAAATGTTATTGCCATGCATCGCCAGGCCCTGACTCAGTGGAGAGCCCGGACGCATCTGAGCTCTCATTCCTGCGCTGGGAGGCAAGGCAGCGAGGCTGTTTCTGCAATAACATTGACTGCAAATGCCTCTCACAGCCTCCGAAAACTGGTGGGTCCAGTTCTGGGAGATGCACTGTGGAGATGACCTTGGACACAAAAGGAAGTGACTTTTCGACACAGTGCTGTACTGAAAACACAGAGTGATCCGGCTTTGGGCTTTGTTCTTCAGACCATTATGTCTTGGCAGCAGGTTTTGCCCACAGGCAGTGCTGCTGCCTCCCGTGGGAAGGAGGCCAAGAATTGCATAATGGGAATGGTCTCCGAAGGAGGGATATGCTGGGCATTTCTGTGTGCTGGTGCCTCCGTATGCAGCATGCCCTCCATGGCTAGCGGCAGCGTAGGAGATGTAGACACTGCTCCTCTCCCATCGCTGGTCCTGTGGGGTCCCAGGCAGACAGGGGCCCACAGGACCAGCCCCCCATCCTGCATCGTGGCTGGCATGCTAACAGCACCCGTATGTTTGTTATTGCGGTCCTTGCTGCCTGCTCCCCAGCCAGACCTGCTGCTGTTCTCTTGCAAAGAGCCTCTCTGCCTGTTTAGCAATGGAAATGATCTCTTGGGGGTGGGGATTTCAGACAAAACACCAAGAGGATCATTTGGGAGCAGTGGCTGGGAAAGGAGCGCTCTTGTTTCAGTGCAGCATGCCTGGCGGCAGTTTGGTTAGGAGGGCGTCCCTCAGGCTAAGCCTAGTCCTGGGTTCCTGCCAGGGAGGAGTGAGTGCTTGGGGATCCTGGATATGCAGGGTGCAACCTGCGTCCTTGAGCAGAAATGAGCAATATGCACTGTAAGAGCCCAGGTGCCGTTGCTGTAGCATCGGTGCAGGGAGCAGGAGGATGAGATGGGAGAGGGAGGGGTATGGACAGGGGGCACCTAGGCCACGTGGCCTTCGGGGACCCTTTCCCAAGCAGCCTGTGGGCAGGGCTGGGCCCCATGGAGCTGTTCCTCGCTGAGCTGCTGCTTGCATGGATGGAGGCAAGCCCCTGCTGTGATTTGGTTTGGACAGGGCTGATCCTGCCTCAGGCAGGGGGTTGGACTAAATGACCTCTGGAGCTCCCTTCTAGCCCCACTTCTTTGATTCCTATGATCCGACCTGTGCCAGGAGCTAGGGCTTCCTGGACTGTCTGGGGGTGCAGCCTGGGGCCTGTAGCAGCGCAGCGTTGAGGGACAAGAGGACGTGGGGAGCCCCGACGCTCCACGCCCCCAGGCTGCTGGGACCCTCCTAGACAGCCCGCAGGTGGCTGGGGACTCTGTGAGCTTGGGGCACTGCTCCCTCCTCCTGGCACTAAACTCCACCAAGTCCTTGCTCTGTTACTGCCTGTCCTTCCTAATCTAAACCCCACTTCCTACCGGCCTTCTCAGAGCCTGGGCCAGCTCCTGTCTCAGCCCTGCCTGCCAACCTGCTGAAAGCTGCCGTGAGCCCTTTGTCTGGAGGGCCCCATGTGCTCCATCCATTACCGAAATGGGGAGCTAATGGCTGAGCTCCCAGGTGGACACAGATCCAAGGAAGCAGCTTTGGAGTCACGCTCATTGAAAGCGGCACTGGGAGGGACCTTGGGGTCATTTTGCCTGTCCCCGGGGGCAAGGCAGGACGTCTGCTCAGAGCTCTCATTAGCACTTCCAGTCTCAGGGCAGAGGGCTCCATCATGAAGCTGTGGGGTGGGGCGGGCTTGTATTCTCGTGCACCTGAGCCCTGTTGCTCCTGCTTCACTTTGTGTGTCGGCCACTTTCCCATCGTGGTGCATATATGTGGGTTCTCATTGCATCCCCATCCCAGTTGCAGCCTCGTTGAGCCCAGCTGAGCACCTCCAGCCCCCACACAGCAGTTGCTGCTTCACCCATGAAGCCATGGGTAAAACCCAGGCCTCCCCCCTGCCTCTACCATGCAGAAGCTCCTGCAGCCTATGCTAGCCCTGCTCTCTGGTGTACCACCCTATGTGCAACCTCTGCTAGCCTGGGCGTGTTAGCATGACCAGCGTAGCCCTGCTGCCTGCCATGGCTGTATCGAGGAAGGCTTTGTGAGGCTCTGTGTCCAGTTCCCAATAAATGCCCTCAATATACCACGATCAGGAGGGGCTCGTCTGGCCTGGGAGGAGCCCACAATCAGGCCTCAGATCAGGAACTCAGGTGAGCTTGTCTGAGTGACTTGTCCTCTGCCTGTCTGAGCTGCTTGTGGTTCTCAGCTCTCTTGTTCCCTTGGTTTGTCCCGCTGCCTTGCAAGAGCTTGTAGTGAGTGATCCCCACTCCCTCCCATCCCCAGCCTTCAGGAAAGGCTTCTTGTCACCCACACCCGGCTCTTCAGGGCTTCAGCCACTTCATACCTAGCATCCGGTGTGGGAGCAAACTTCGAACAGGAAGGCAGAACTCCCCCTCTGCAAAGCCCTTTGTGAAGCGTAGCGAAGCCAGGACTGCAGCTGTTTGCACCGGGTAGGAACTGGGATGTGTGAGTCTGGAGCTTGCGGCATCCCCTACAGATGGTATCTCGCCTCTCTTCCCATCTGCTCTGTGGTGCAATTAGTCCCCTGGAGAGTGGGGCTCGGGGCCGGCAGCCAGGAGGATGGAGCGGCAGGGCTGGGGGAGGCCTTCCACCTCCTCACTCCTCACTTTTCCTGGCAGTGGGATGGCAATATTCGGTGGAGTACCAGGGGCATGTGGGGGATGCTACGGAGTAGATGGATGTCCCCCATTTTCTGCTGTCACTGCAGCTCCCTGACCTTGACTTTTCAGAGAACAGCCTTCCCCTCTGATGGTACTGGGAGCCGTGTGTGCCCAGGGGCTGGAACGGCAGGCATGAGGGGCCTCAGGCCCAGCTCCCAAAATAAAGGAACACCCCCAAGGCCTTTGGAGATCCCTGTTGCTGTGACGTTATCATGGAGTGAATCCATCTGGGATTTGCGGGATGAGTCAGGCATGGTGTGAGGGGAGCCTCTTGCACCTTCCTAGGTCAGCACTTGCTAATCACCAGGATCCTGGGGGGCAGGAGATACAAGCGCTCAGGTTGGGCCCTGCGCTTTGTCGTTGCATTGTGCCCTTCGGAGGTCCGCAGGGCAGGGAATGCTGGCTTTGGCAGCCTGCTTTGCCCTGCTTCTGTGTGGTTTATAGTGTAGTGCGCACCCACCCAGAAGGCAAAGGTGCCACCTGCCCCGTCCCCAAAATGGGAACGTCAGCAATGCCAACCAGCACAGAGGGTGGCCGCAGGAAGGCCAGAATCACTGGGGCTTGTGTCTGGCTGTTCCTTGACCCACAAGTATCAGAGCAGCCAGGTGAGCTGCAGCCAAGAGCACATCCCGGCGTCTGTCTCCTTCTGTCCAGCCCTCACATTCGGGCTCTTCCATGGTTTGGAGAGGTGGAAGTCAAAGCCACTGACTAGCAGCACCCAGAACCTGAGCGCTCGTAGCTACGCAGCATTTTGTACGGCTCCCGCGGGCTGCGGCTGAGTGCTTGGCATCATCTGGCCTTGTGTCAGGCACCCGGAAGCACGGCATGTGCAGAGGGCACCGGTGGAGTCTGGTTTATCCAGCACCGTGCGGGAACTCAGAGGCAGGGGCAAAGTCCACTTCCCCAGCACAGGGCTCAGCTGCCTTCAGCAGGAAAATGTCCTCCTCTTCCTGCCGTTTCCAGCGGCATTCGTGGCACACCTTCCTGCCTCTGTAGCTAATGAACCTGAGGACAGCACGTTCCCCCCCCTCCTTCTCGGGCCCAGAGTCGCCCAGAGCAAGCCCGTCCTGGCACTGAAAGAACCAGGGTCCTAGGAAGGGTAGTATGGGGGTCTCGTATTACACCAGGGCATCAGGTCAGATCAAGGAGGCCTGGACAGCCCCTATCCCGGCATGCCCTTGTGAGGGTGGGCTTGACTCTGCAGCCTGTATATTATCCCTTTAATGCAGCTTATTTGCAATGCAGGCTCCCAGACTCCGCGCCAGTACCCAGTCCCTCCCCAGCCTGGAGCCTGAGAGTAGCCACTGGGAACAAAGTCCAGTCTGCCCTCGTGGCCTTGCTGGAGGGAGCAGGCCTTCTAGCTCTGTGGGGACCAGGGAGGCCTCTACAGCTGGGTCTATAGCTGACTCTTGTCCAGTGGGGACAGGTCCAGCTTTCAGACTAGCAAGTCACTACCAAGCATGTGTGAGCAGTGGCTTTCTGGGGCGCTGAGAGCTTGGCCAGGGCTGGATGGATGCTTCCCGGGAAGCCAAAGGCCCCAGAGACACCTCTGAGCTCAGGAAAGAACCAGCACAGCCCAGCCCTGCTCCCATCTCTGGTCTGGTCCCCCTGGGAACGGGGCTTCACGCTGTGCAGCGGTGCCCAGAGCCTCCGGCCGCTGCCTGATCGCTGGGTTTGGGTGCACGTGGCTCTCGCGCAGGGCAGGGAGGCAGCGTGGAGGGAGACAATGTGCCAGGCCCTGTGCAAACACAGATGTGGCACTTTGTTGTGAGCCTCCACCGGATGGCAGTGACTGCAGGTGGATGCACCCACTCCGTCACTAAAGCAAGCGTGCTGGCTTTGAGACTCCAAGTGAACGGCCGTGGGGAGAGGGGGCACTCACTCTGTCTGCTTCTTCCTTCACAGAGCCCCCCTTGATCCTGCCTCCCTCGACGGAAGCCCAGGTATGTCCCAGACGCTCCAGCTCGGTAAGCAGTGCGATGAACCCGGGGCCTCTGCAGGTGCAGGCACAGACACGTGTGCACCAGCTCACAAGCGCACAGAGACATGCATCCTTCTTAAGCCTGGGGGCCTGATGCCCATGCCAGTTGCTGGGGAAGCGAGGGGTCCATACTGATGCTGTGTCAGCCTCTCCTTGCCAGGTGCTGGACTCTGCTGTAGGCGCTGGGTGTAGCCACCAGCCTGGGTTGGGGGGAAGGTGACACGCACAACATCTCCATGGGGAAAGAGTCTGCTGCAAGCATTTGTTGTGGCTGCAGGCTGGCTGCGTCTCCATCCCCCCACCCTGGTTTCTCGGAGTGCCCCACGGCTGTCTGTCCTCACACCGTCACTGTGCTGGGTGGCATCAAGCCATTCAACTGGGCCCTGTGTATCCCCCAGTCTTGCCCAGCAGGTCCGGCAGGACCTGGGAGGCTGAAGCCAGTGAGGAATCTGGAGGGACCAGACAGCTTTAAATCAAAGCTCTGTTTAAGGAGAAGAGCTGGAATCAAGAGTAATTTAAGCTAGCCAGTGTTTAGGGCACCCAACCGTTGGGGCACACATCTGTGGCACCGAAGCAGCATGTAGCACTGCTGGGACCCCTGCACCATGCACCAGACGGGTGCAGGAGCGGAGGGTGCTGCAGCTCAGGCCCTTTGGTATTCATGTCAGTGCACAGTCATGACCTGCCTGGAGGCAGGGAGCCAACGCTGCCCGCAGGCCCCTCCGTGCTCCTGGGATTTGCTTTGGAGCATGACAGTAAGTACTGTGGTGGGGGAGCTCGGAGGCCTGCAGCCCATCTGCAGGTCCTGCCAGGGGTGGGTCCAGTCCCTCTCTTTGCTGCTGCTGGACTGGTCTGAAACCACGTGGTGGTTGTTCCTGCTCCATGGGCACGTGGAACTGGTGCCTATGGAAGGGCACGCCTTCCCCGCTGGCCTGGCGCCAGCCACCGCTGCCCACGCTCCGCTTCCTGCCTCGTGCTGGGGCCAGCTCTTTGATCAACGCGTTTTTGAAATTGGAGGCTGTTTTTCCCCCCCTCTGCCACTGGCTGGAGTCACAGGTTTTCTGCATCAATCAGCTTGCAGCAGCGCTGGCTGAGCCACGCGTATTGGGCCATCGCAGCCAGGCAGAGCCAAGGGTAATCTCACTGCTCCCTGCCCCTGGACTGGGCTGTCACGTGGCGGAGGCACCTGCCACCACAGCGTCTCGCCCTGGGATAACAGGAGGCCATATGTGGGCTGGCACTAGGGTGGAGGCGACTCCTCTACCTTCCCCTGTGGCTGTCCCATGACTTTGTGGGACACAGTGGTTGGTGACTCCCATCTTTCTAACTTCCCCAGCACTGGATGAGCTGTGCACCCGACATGGGCAGGAACCTGCCTGGAGCACTTGCTCCCCCCACCCCTTGCAGGCCCTTCCTTTGGGAGGGCCCTGCCCCAGACCTGCCTTCCTTCCCCCTCCAAGCTCTGGCTCCAATCTGAGGCAGCTGGCCCCAACCAGCCCTGCTGCTCTCGTCCTAGCTGCCCAGCCCAGCACTGCTTCATCAGTGTGGGGAGCTGCAGCTGCAGCAGGTCCATGCTCCTGGGCCCTGACCCAAGGTGCATGGGCATCAGTCCAGCCTTTCTACTGCTTTCTGTGAGCCCTGGATCAGCCCCCTGGCCTTATCGGCACCTGGAGCCGGCTGCCGGCCGAGATAAGCTACCAGCCCCAGGGCCCTTGTCGCTGCAATTCACTTTGTTTTGAGATTTCACCAGGTCCTGAGTTCAACCCAGGTTCCTGGCTTTCCCTCTGCCCCGGCCACCTCCTGCGGGGTCTGGGGAGCAAATGCCACTGAGCACCACTGTGCAGACGCTGGGCTGCTCGTTTCCATCCATCCCCTGGGCAGCTCTGGTTTCCCTCGCTCTCGCTGTAATGGAGTGGCAGTAAACAGAGGAGGTCTGTGAGACAGCTGGGGACCAGCCAGCCAGCCCCGGGGCCTGAGCAGTGCCTCCCGCCTCTGTGGCCAGAGCAGGGGCTGGAGCTGCCCAGGGCATAGGGCTCAGAGTGTGGAGCCCCTTAGACAAGCTCAGCACAAGCTTGCACCGTGCTGGGACAGGGGTCTTCACTGCCAATGTCCCTGCTAGGAACAAACCAGACCCTTGAGGCTCTCTTGGGAGTGCAGGCAGGAGGGGTCTCTGCCGAATCAGGGTAGCAGACCCTGAGCTGGAGCTGAGGTCAGGAAAGCAGAGCAGCCCCCCCGGGCTCTGTGCATGGCCAGGTATCACGTGCAGGGGAGGGGGAGAGGGAAGCAGTGCAGCACTGCCTGACCCCCGCTCGTGCTGCCCATGCAAAGGGCTGGAGATTGCAACGGGGTCTGGCCCAGCCTCCCACCCCCCAGCCACAGTGGGGGGTTCCCCAGCCCCCAGCTCACCCCGTGCTGCCCTCCCCTTGCAGATGGTGCAGTCACTGGGGTTCGCCATCTACCGGGCACTGGACTGGGGGCTGGACGAGAGCGAGGAGCGGGAGCTGAGTCCCCAGCTGGAGCAGCTCATCGACCTCATGACCAACAGTGACTCGCAGGACAGCGGCTGTGGCACGGCGGATGAGGGCTATGGGGGCCAGGAGGAGGAGGAGGAGGCGGCAGAGGGCCCCCCGCGGGCTGTGCACACCTTCGAGCAGGCCATGCGGGTGTGCGCAGCCCGCCTGACGCATCCCCACGAGGCGCAGGCCCACTACCAGGCTGTGTGTCGGGCTCTCTTCGTGGAGACCGTGGAGCTGAAGGCCTTCCTCGCCAAGATCCGCGATGCCAAGGAGGTGAGCACGCGCCCGCCGCGACACCCACCAGCTGTCCCAGCCCTGAGGGGTCCTTGACTTCCCCTCCCACCCCTGCCTGGTGGGGTCTGTGCCGTCCCCTGGAGGGGATGGTGTCCCAGCTGCCTCCCCGGCCCCACAAGCTCCCGCCTGGGCCACGCGCTTGCCCTCTGGTGTCGAGAGGGGGAAGCGCGTGCATGGCTGCTCCAGCCCGCACCCTTGCTGCTGTGCAAGCCACCCAAGGGAGGTGGATCTCGGCCCCAGCAAGCTCCCGATCTCCGGGGAGAGCCAGCGGGGTCACGGCTTGTAGGGCTGCAGCAGGATGGGCCTCAGCCGCGATCCAGGAGCTCCACCTGCCAAATGTGTGGGGACATGGGGGCAGGAGCTCTACCTGGGACAGAGGCTGAGCCAGGCTGGGCATCTTCCCCGAGGGTGCGGGGATGGGGCTACCCCGGAGTCAGCCTCCAGCTGTGGAGTCATCGGGGCCTGTCGTAGAGCAGTGGGGGTGGCAGGGACCAGCAGCACCGGGCATCACACCCAAACCTGCCGCGGGGAAAGCAGGGGGAGTTGGCAGCCAGTGTCCTGCAACAGTAAAAGGTTAGGGCCAGGATGGCCGGGCTCTGGGTTGTCAATATGGCACGTGGGCATGTCTGGGTCAGGTCATCCGAGATGCTTCGCTGCCTCATTGAACTCATTATCAGCTTGGGGGAAATGTATCCCCCCTCCCCTTCCCGGGCATTCACGTGGAGACCAGGGCCATAGCCGGGACTGCAGCTGAGCAGTGCTGAGCTGGGCTCCGGGGAGGCCGTGCAGGGACAGCGGGGCCTGGTGCTTTGCTGGGCTGAGCAGAGGGGAGGCTGCCAAGGGGCTGTGTGTAGGGAAGGGCACCGCCGTGGAAAGGGGAGAGCCAGCTGCTGCCCTGAGTGGGGCACTTGCTCTGCAGCACCCCTCCGACGTGCGGCAGGGCTGTCTGCACCCGCACCGGGCAGGCTGGGCCTCTGCTTTCAAACCCACCTGGAAAGCTAAGCAGTCGAAGCACCGGAGCTCCCCCAGGGCACTGAGGCTGGTGTTGTCCCCACTCATTTCTGCTGCTACCCCCCAGCACCGAGGGCTTGGCCCAGTGGGCAGGGGCCTGCAGCTCCTGTCCCCCCATCGAAGTGCTACCCGCATGGATCCCTGGAGGCAGAGCAGCGCCCGGGATGGGGTCCGGGGCTCCCTCTGTGGTACTTAAACCCCCTGCAGAGACCAGCTAGTGCTGAGGCTCACCTCCACTCCCCGGGAGGGCGCAGGGCTGCTGGGCTGGGCGCAGGGCGTGGGTCACGTGGAGCTCCCATCCTGCTGCAGATGCTGAAGAAGCTGAAGGATGACGAGGGGCCAGAGGAGAAGTCAGCTGCTGACCTGGACAACCTGCGCAACACGGACTGGGTGAGGGGTGCAGCAGGGTCCTGAGCACCATTCCCCCGTGGGGGCAGTGGGGAATGGGGGGAGCCCCCATCCTGGGGTTACAGCCTTGGGACCCCCACAAATAGCCTGCAGAGGAGGGCGGGGGCCAGAGGGAAGCTGCAGGCACCAGGGACCTGTGGCTTGCTCACCCCGTGTGGAAGCCCCTCCTGTGCTGGGCAGTGGGACAGGGGCTGCCTGGGGGATCAGTGCTGGCCCCGTCCTGGGCTTTGCCCAGCCAGCTGCACACAGCCTTGGTGCCTGCCCCCACGCTGGGCCGCCCGTGCTGCCCAGTAACAGGCCATGTCTGCTCCAGGCCCGGCTCTGGGTGCAGCTGATGCGGGAGCTGCGCCACGGCGTGAAGCTGAAGAAGGTGCAGGAGAAGCAGTTCAACCCGCTGCCCACCGAGTACCAGCTGACGCCCTTCGAGATGCTCATGCAGGACATCCGGGCGCGCAACTACAAGTTGCGCAAAGTCATGGTGAGCCTGGGGGGCCCGGGGCAGGGCTGGGCCACAGCTGGCCAGGGCCAGCCCCAATGCAGATGCGCTGTGTCCTTGCACCCCTGACCGGCCTGCCTGGGGGAGTGGGCAGACCCACCTGGGTGTACCCCACGCAGCCGGCCCTGCACTGGACACGTTGATGGTGTCCCCATGGGTAATGGGGCTCCCTGCCTGTGCCTGGGTCCCCCTGCCCTGTCCCTCTGCAGCCTCCCACACCATCCCAGCAGACCTGTGGTCACTCCCTTGTCCCTCCTCCCTCTCTCCCATGTATGTCCAGGTGGACGGCGACATCCCCCCGCGGGTGAAGAAGGATGCACATGAGCTCATCCTGGATTTCATTCGGTCCCGGCCGCCGCTGAAGCAGGTAAAGCACGTCTGAGCCCCGGCTCCGGCTGGGCCCGACTGCCTGCAGGAGATCCCAGCACGGCCCCATCCTGCCCCAGTATAGGAAGAGTCCTGGAGAGCTGTGGGGCGCAGGCTAGGGAGGTCATGAGCCCAGGGTGGGAGCCCCATGCTGCTCCCAGTGCTGCGTGGTTATGACCATACGAACATCACGTGTGGGGTCCCGGGCTCCAGGCTCCGCTGTCCTGAGTGCTGTCTTCCTGAGCTCCCTTCACCTTGCTCACTGGGGTCTCCACGTGCTGTCAGTGGTGGTGGAGGAGGGGGTGCCGGCTGGCCCCGTCATGCTGAGCGCCTGCCCCCACACCCTAGGCTTCAGAGCGGCGGCTACGCCCCATGCCCCAAAAGCAGAGGACGCTGCATGAGAAGATCTTGGAGGAGATCAAGCAAGAGCGGAAGCTGCGCCCCGTGGAGACGCGGTACCAGAACCAGAAAGGTAACGGGCTGCCGCCCCTTCCCCCATCCCCACCCCTGGGCAAGCATGGCCCTGAGGACAGCAGCCACATTGCCTTCACCCTGAGCCAGCCTGGGGGGCTCAGACACAAAAAGGGACCCGCCGCAGCCCTGGCCCACCCCAGTCCCTGCATCCATCCTCCCCCAGCTCCCATGTCATGGGTCCGGCAGCTCCCTGCCCCCGTGGTCCGGTCCCCTTTTCACCCAAGCATGCCCAGTCTTGGCTGAGCTGGCTCCTGGCTGTCACCTCATCCTCCAGGGCCATCCTGCCAGCCTGTCCCCCGTGCTGGGCTGAGTCAGGGGGTGCAGCCCCCAGCAAGCCAGCCCCATCACCAGGGTGTCTCTGGGCTCCATGGGTCAGGGTGGGGACCATACCCTGAAGGTGCCTCCCATGCATCAGCCCTGCCTAAGCACACCTGAGACCTGCCCATGCCCTGCCCTGCCCTGCCCCGCAGGCTTCGGCTCCCTGCCCTGCATCGTCAATGCCTGCTCCAGCAACGTGAAGTCCAGCTCCTGCCTCAACCTCTCGCTGGCAGACACCGGCGCCGTGCCCCCACCCCGCCCGCGGGTCCTGCTCAAGGCACCCACACTGGCCGAGATGGAGGAGATGAACAGCTCCGAGGTACAGGAGGCGCTGAGGGGAGCAGGGAGGGGGGCAGGGGGAGACTTGGGCATCAGCAGGTCTCTGCCCTTCCCCTCATTCCTGCGGATGTCCCCATTGCAGGAAGAGGAGTCCCCCCGCTCGGAGGCTAGGCCAGAGCCAGGGTCACTGCTCCCACTGACCCGCGACCGCTCCTTCTCGGAGCAGGACCTGGCCCAGTTCCAGAGCGAGGCGGTCACCAGCCAGCCCGGCACCAAGCCCCCCGGCACCCAGGAGTCCGACCCGCGGCCCCGCTCAGGTAGCATGCACGGCATGCGGACCAGCACAGAGACCACCGGCAAGTGCCCCCTCCTCCCCTCCACTCCCCTGTCCCGCCCTGCCCAGGGCATCCTGGCTCAGGTTACCATCCTGCTGGGAAGCTGAGGACACGCGAGGCTGCAGACAGGCTCCAGGGTCGCTGCCCGTGGCCTGGACCTTGTGCAGCAGGAGCGCAGCGCAGCTGTTTGCTGGAGGGCAGGGCCAGAGCTCCCCTGCTGCCCTTCTCGAGGGCACTTGCACGGCTGCTCAGCCTGGGGCTGCTCTGCATCCCCCCCACCGGCTGCTGTGTCCTGAACCCCCTCCCTTACCCATCCCTGCCAGCCTCGGGCAGTCAGGTCCCTCTCAGTGGGGCTAGGGGTGCCCGGGCCCTGCTCCAAGCTGCGTTGGGGTGGGACTGACGGCCCAGTTCTCCTCCAGGCTCCGTCCCGGCCAGTTACCACCAGGCCCCGCGCAACACTGCTCCGCTCGCCCCTGCCCACGGCTCCCTCAGCTCCGTGGAGGAGAGGTCGGAGGAAGGCCCCGGCTCCACCCCCGGCCCCAGCACCAAGCACCTCTGGCTGGTATGTGCCTGGTTGGCTTGTGTGTGAGCTCAGGAGCCCTGTGCACTGTCCTGGCACCTGGGAGATACCCAAGGGGGTGCAACCAGGACTGGGGCAGACACGGCTGAAGGGAGGGTTGGCAGGGGAGTGAACCGGTGGGATCTGGGAGCTGCTCTGAGCCCCTGGCATCTCATCCTGGAAGCCACCGCAGCTGAATGAGCCACCCAGGTAGCTGGCCAGGGGCTGACAGCACGCAGCCCCGTGGGCTGGTGCCCCAAACCCAGTCCAGCCAGAGCATCCGGTGCAGCCTGAGGGCAGGGATCCTGTGTTTAAGGCGGGGCAGGAGCCCAGAGCCCCTGGTGCTCCTGCCTGCATGAAGATGTAGATGCCCGTGGCCTGGGTGGCCATGGCCTCATTGCAGGCCCTGCCACCAGGCAGGGAGCAGAGCCGTGGCCCCACCTGCCCTTGCTGCCCTCGGCCACAGGAGTTCAGCCACCCCGTGGAGAGCCTGGCGCTGACTGTGGAGGAGATGATCAATGTGCGCAAGGTGCTGGTGAAGGCCGAGATGGAGAAGTTCCTGCAGAGCAAGGAGCTCTACCAGAGCCTGCGCAAAGGCAAGGTGAGGGCAGCCCCGTCGGCCCCCGGGCAGGCCAGGCCCGCAGGAAGCCAAGGGGTGGCAGGGCCAGGCTGACATGTGCCTTTCACCTCTGCCCCTTCCACCCCGCAGATCTGCTGCTGCTGCCGAGCCAAGTTCCCGCTGTTCTCTTGGCCTGCCAGCTGCCTCTTCTGCAAGAGGTGAGAGGGGACCCCCGTGCCACCAAGGCCAGGGGGCAAGAGGGGCCGGGGGGCTGCCAGGAAGAAGCACCGGGGTCCTCACTGACCCTCTCCATTCTCCTGTGGCTCTTAGGTCCGTCTGCAGCTCCTGCAGCCTGAAGGTAAGAGGTGCTTCTGCTGCTGTCCCCGGGGTGCTCTTCCTTGGTGGTGTCCAGTCTCTCTGGGGACTGCCGTCTTGCCTGGTCACTGCTGGAAGCCCCCAAAGGGGCAGCAGGACATGCCAAAGTCTGGTTGTCTGGGTGGTGGCCGGGGGGCAAGGGGCAGGTAGGGGCTGTGCTGGGTGCTCTGTGATGGGGCCAGGATGGAGAGACCAGCCCCATTACAGCAGTACCCATGGGGCAGCCAGGGCAAGGCAGCCTAGCAGGTCTCTGCTGGTGCTGACCTCTGCTCCCGTTGCAGATCAAGATGCCGTCCAAGAAGCTGGCCCATATCCCTGTCTACGCGCTGGGCTTCGAGAGCATGCTGGGGACGCTGCCTGGCACGGCGCTGCCGGTCCGGAAAAGAGACGTGTTCCAGTGAGTGCCGCACCCTCGCAGCGAGCCGTGGGGTCAGCAGCCCACAGCCCCCAGGGCCAAGCCAGCCCTGCAGGCAGGTCACAGCAGGTGACACAGGCTCTGGGGATGGGGCTGGCTCTCTGGGGAGCTCCCCCCACAATGACCAGGCCCCTTGCAGCACTCCCACGGGGAGCTGCAAGGGTGCAGTGCTGCGTGCAGAGTGCAGTCAGCTCCCATGGATGGCAGGAATAAATCTGTTCCCAGCCTTTCCCCTTGCTCCTGGCCCAGCTTCACCCACCCATGGCAGCTCTCCTGCCCCTCCAGCTCTGGCTCTCTGCTCCTGCCCTTTCATCCCCCTCCTGGGCAAAGCACGGAGACAGGGCACCACAGAACACCAGCTTGCGGGTGCTCCCGGGCTGCGGGTACCCCAGAGCAGGGACGGGGGGAGGCTACATCCAGCCTGACATGAGCTGTGTCTTGCAGCTCCCTGCGGGGAAGGGGCTGGTGGGGTGTGGAGCAGGAGTTTCCCCACATCTACGCCCACGGCTCAGTCCTCAAGGATGTGTGCAGCGACTGCACCAGCTTCGTGGCTGACGTTATCAGCTCCAGCCGGAAGAGCGTGGACATCCTCAACACCACACCACACCGCAGCAGGAAGACCCAGTCACTCTACATCGACCCTGGCCGCTAGCAACGGACTCTGCTGTCCTGTGGCCCCTGCCCTGGGCACCAGCATCTCTGCCAGAGCCAGCCCCCCAGAGACCGAGCTCCTTGGAGGCCCGGGGTTCTCTGGGCAAGAGCCCCCAGCCCCACACCTGCAGACAATCCCACCTTCGATGGCTTCCAGCTGCCCCTGCTTCCTACAGACTGCCAGGCCCCTCGTGGAGCACACACCTGCCCCTCAGCAAGGCCTGCTAGCAGCTCTGTGTGTATGTACATATATATATATATATATATATAATATATACAGCCTCTATATTTATATACATGACCGACAGCCAGGGGTGTTCGCTGCCAGGTGCTGTCTGAAGCCGCAGCTTGCCTGGCAGGGACCCGCTGGCTCGGTGTCTCCCACTGCAGGCAAAGCAAACCCAGCTGCTCTCTTTCCCCGTGCTCCGCAGGGCTGGGCGCAACCCCCCTGCTTTGTAGAGCAGCCGACCAGGCAGGGAGACCCCCGGGGTGTCTCACACAGCAGCTCAGGGCAGCATGAGGTCCTGTCCTCAGAGCAGGGCGAGGCGGCTGGGCCCTGCCATGAGCTCTGCCCTCGATAGTACCTGGGCTCTCTGCCCTCCCCATCCTTGTAGCCCCCATGCCTCCCTTCCAGCTCATGCTGCTAGAAGCAGTGCTGGGTGCAGGAGTGGGGGCTCCCGTGTGTGTCTCCGGATCCTGTGTCTGTGCCAGACAATCAGCTGTGAATATTTATTTGTCCTTATGCTGGAGGTCATGGGGAGGGGCTGTGGGGTGGGGCCACGTCTCATGTCTGTCTGATGCTACCCTTTCTCTGCCAGAGCTGTCAGGGATTGTGCAGACAGCCCTGCCGCTCTCCGGAGTGTCGGGGCAGGTGCATGGCTGCTGGGCGCTGGGTGGAAACCCTCTACCTTTCACACTTGGGGTGCTGGAGGGGCTAATGCTGCAGGGACAACACTAAGAGGTCCAGCTGTGCCAGCCATGAATGCCCCCAGGTCCCTGGGGGGCGGCTCAGACGGATAAGGACCCTGCTGCCCTATGCTACGGCCTCCTGCTTCTCTGCCAACCCGCTCGCTGCTCCCTGCTGACGCGCCTGCGAACGACAATGCCTTATCACTGTCCCGGATCGCCCGTCCACGGCCCTGCGTGAGCCAGGCCTCCAGCCATGGGCCTGACCAGGGCCAACAGATCTGGTCATCGTGTTCTACCCAGCCCGCGCCATAAAGACTCCATGTATATTGTAAATAGCCTGCATCGGACCAGCATGGTTGCTCCTTGTACATACAGTTGCTCCCATCCCAATAAATACCTATTTTAGGCTGCACTGGTGCCTTGGACAGCTTTTTCCCCCCATATTAGCCCCTCTCCCTGCGTCCCTGTGGCGGCCCAGAGCCACAGACAGCAGCTGGGACCAGTGGGGCAGGAAATAAAGGGCACGGGCCCTTCCCAGGGACCTGGGGCAGCTCGTGTGGGGCAGGTGGACAGCAAGCTCCTGCATCCGCTGACCTCGGGGTTTGTCGGGGTTCTGGTAGCAGTCAGAGGGGCTGGTCGGGATCAGAGGTCAGCCTGGGCCTCAAACACCGCCAGGAAGGCATGAGCCCATGTGCGTCCCCTGGCGCCAGGTAGTGGCACCTGTGGGATTTGGGTCCCCAGAGGGAAGTCTTCCAGCTGATGTCCCGGCACCAGCTGTGCCTCTGCAGACGGGATGGGCCCCTCTGGGAAACATCTCCAGAGCGCAGCGAGCTCTGAGGTGGGAATGGGGCTTGAAGGGAGACACAGGGACTGCCCAAGGGATGCTAAGGGACCTCTAGGGCCAAGCTGGCCTGTGTGCTGTGGGGGCCTGCGCGTGGAGGGAGGCGGGGGCTGCTGGGGCAATGACCCATGGCCATGCAATATGGTAGCAATGATGCATGGCCACGCTCTCCCGCCAGGGCCCCAGGGACACGGTCCTCGCACCTCGGGGAACACGTGGGAGGAGGGGACTTATCTCGCGCGGGGGGAGGTGCGAGAGAAGTGGCGGCGCCAAGCAGGGCGCGTGCGCAGGCGGCGTCGGCCGGCGGCGCTTCCCAGTGACGTCAAGCGCGCAGGCGCAGTGCGCGCGGCGGCCCGGGTCTCTATGTCGAGGCGAGCGCTGCGGCGGCTGCGGGGGGAGCAGCGGGGCCAGGAGCCCCTGGGGCCGGAACCGGAACCGGAACCAGAACCAGGTGGCGAGAGCGGACCGCGCCGGGGGGTCGGCAACCTCTACGAGCTGGTGAGGGACCGGGGAGGCTGGGCTGGGCTGGATTGGACTAGGGTGGGGAGACTGAACTGGGCTGAACTGGACTGGACCAGGCTGGGGTGGAGGGCGCTGGGCTGGGCTGGGCTGGGCTGGGCTCGG